ACAAACAGTTACACGCCCATCGTTTTTCGCTGCCGCTCATACGTCAATTACTGTATCACGTCGGTCGGCCGTTGAACGTCAAAACGCGAATAAGGGCGGAGGATCGCTTCAACCCCTCGATTCACACTCTCTCCCGATTTCGTACTTCAGATCTCGGCGGGCGTTTGGAGGTGAGCGCGGGAGGTGAGCCAGTGGAATTTGTCGGCGCGAGGTGAGCATTTCTTTTCGTTTTTTCGCTCGTGCCACGCGGTACCAGCAATACTTTCATCGTCGGAACTCCCGTTTCGCCCCGCGCTTTTCTCACGAAGCAGGGAAACGGCGGTCCTTCGTTATCGTTACGCTACGGCTAATGGGCAGGATCGTTCGCAGGCGACGCGACGCGTGCGTGCGCGAGATGGAAGTTCCTATTTAAGGCCCGGTTGCACCAACGTCGCGTAAGTTTAACCTTGGCCCGACCTTACCTCCTTTTAAGAGACAGAATTGGTAGAGTTAGAACCTGAGCAGAAAGATCGTCATAACTGTTTACGATTCCGTCGTAAGACGTACTCTGGAAAAGAAAAGTTAACAACCCGTTTTGGGACCCACAATTACACTGCAAAATCCGTATACATATCCGTCTTATGTATAAAAGACAATTATATTTCCATTATATTTTATAACGGATATTCAATATTAAAACGGATTCATTATATAAAATCCTCAATATAAGTGGGACCGGTAATGTAAAGGATATTGTAAAGGATTTCGTTATATATATTTAAAGCGGACAAGAGTTACGTGACCATAGCAACGATTTCTCTTGTCGCTCAATCCGTTAAAGTATTTCAGTCGCCTCGGTTACTCGGCGGTTTTCGTCTCGATTACGCAGTTCAATATTAAGTTTAATATTTTTGCCGCTAATTTTTACGGAGCAACATGGGAATGGATAGACGCGGTAACCATCGCGGTAAATGTACCGCATGTGACTGCGATGAATTCATGTTTTGTCTAATAAAATATTGTCTTCCAGGTGATAAATTCTTTTTTACAATATATCAGGGAAAAAATATAAAATTCACTAAATTTTCCTTCTATTTATACAGAACATTATTATTAGGACGATGTCCTGTATACGGAATTCCGCTTTAATTTCACGTTTTACTTAAAGTGGAAAAAAGTCACTTTTTTCCGTTCTAATTTCGCGGAATTTCGAGTGGACATGTTTTGCAGTGTAGTACTCGAATTATTTGGATTGTTTGGTCGTAACTCTGGGAAAAACTTTGACCATTTTTTTGTAGTTGAGCAACTTAACATTTCGGTTAGTGCGCCTTAAGTGCAAAATTATCTTTGCGTTACTGAATATCGACAGACTAATTGAGAGAATTGATTAGTATCACCCAAAAACCTAATGAACCACCATAACCTTCATTATTGCTTGGCTACAAAAATGTGCCCCTGAAAGGGTTAAGCCTTACGACATCGTAAACGGTTACGACAATCTTTCTGCTCAGGTCCTTAAGCTAAGGTTAAAATTACGTGACGCCGGTGCGATCGCGCCCGAGCCGGTTAAAGAGACCCGAGAGGGTTGCTTTGCAAAACTGATAATCGACGCAACACGCAATTCAATCAAAACCCATAATTTGCATCTGACACGCACGCGGTGTCCTATATATACTTTCTCTCCGTCATTCTCCTCGTCGGTCGATACGCGATTCTCCACCGCGGAAGCATCGGAGCGATGATTCTCTCGAGTTTACGATCAGCGACCGAAAAAAAGAAAGATTCTCTTGGAGCGAGCCGAAGTTCTGGAAATCGATTGCGACCAAGAGCTACATTCTTAACTTAGAGCACAATTTAATAGAATTCTAAATTAACGCTGAGATGCGTAACGCTGGAGATTGAAAGGCTAAAGTGGAATCGTTGGAATTTGTCGTTGGAAAAGAGTCATTGCAAAATAATCGCGCGCGGCACAAGTGGGACACAGCCCGTGCAAAGCGAAATGTAAACCTAGCTCTCTCTAAAGTGTCTCTCTCTCTCTCTTCCTCTCTGAAAACTCGACAAGTATGCGGCGCGCGAAACGAAGCAACAGCAACAGATAACTCTATAGGCAGACTTGTCTTCTCCCATCAAAGATGACCACCCCTACGTGTCGGAATCGATACGTTGCTCATGCACTTGTTTAAATATTAAAAGTTTTGCAGCCGATAGGCGTGCGTGCGCGCATACAGGCGCGACGCTACGTAGAGTAATAATTGTACCACTTATTTAAGGACGTTCGTGTACCGTGGAGCAGACGTTTCTCCTCGAAAGGGATTCGTGTGCCTTGATAAATCTATCATGATAAACAACGAAATTACAATCGAGATAGTACACGAGGAAGTAGTCTTAGATTTTAAGAAGATGTATATACTCTCTTAGACTTTAATTTTGCGAGAGAGACTTAGACGCTATATATATATATATGTATATGTATGTATAAGTAAGATTAGTTCGCGATTTCAGCCTTTTAGTCGAGAAAAAACGAACGAGCGCGGAAACCCAGAGACTGAAACGAAAAGCTATACTTTTCCGACAACGGAGAAAGCACTCGCGCCATCACAGAGATTCGGAGAAATAATTCAATTGAGCCACACGATCATTAATACATTCGCACGCGCGTCAGTCGTTCACAGACATACACAAACAGGTACAAGGGGTGTGGGGCGAGGAAGGGACGAAGAATCGGGTGCTCGTACTCGAGATTATTACCAAAGGAATGCCGGAGTGCACGTTACGAAAGGCACTTTTGCACGACGTTTAACTCGGAGCCGGTTTAAGGGCGAATCTCGGAACACTGGCTGATCCGGCCCTATTTGTCTTACAGCAGGAATCCCGGACCACTTTCCGGAGGGCTCTGCCCAATCTGCTCCAACTTGCCCCAATTTGTCTTCAGTGCTATTTATGCGCGCCAACCGGCCCCGATTTAATCGTGATGAGTCTCGCCCTTTTTATTTCGCGCCTGTACACGGAGAGAATTTTCCTGTGAAATCTATCCTGAAAATCACACGATTGTGAGGCAACGTGGCATCTTAAAGAACTTTATAAGAGTTTCTTGAAATTTTATCATATATTTTACTAGTAAAATATATAGTATACGTATACTGGTGAAACGTATGGTAAAATTTTCAAAAACTCCCACACAATTCCTTGAAATGCCGCGTTGTCTCACGATTACATAATTCTCAGGATAAATTTTAAAGGAAAATTCTCCCCGTGTACTTTCTCACGGTCTGTCTATCTATCTCTCTCTTTCTCTCTCTCTATGTATCCCTTTCCCACAATCTTCCACACACACGCGCTCTCTCTCTCTCTTTCTTTCATTCTTAAATTTGCAAAAGACGTAAAAAATTGTAAGTACGTATATATACGTAATGAAATACACAGCGGGGATACGTTCCGCTAAGGAATAATCGGAGCATCCCTCGATGGCGATAAAAACAGCACGTATAATCACGCGGCGTGCATGCGTGGGCGTGTAGCGGTATGCAATGCATACGGTGCACGCGCGCACGATATACCGCTCGAAAGAGCGTTTTCAATAAATCCATCCGACGTGTAAGATGTGTATGTAAGACGATTAACTTCTCTTTTCTTAGGATCACAGAATAGTAGCGCCCGAGCATAGCGATATTTCATTTTGAAGAGAGACTTCCGGGAGGGAACGGGAGCGAACGAGTAACAGCGTTCTCCATCGCGCGCGATTACGTTCGCCGATTCGAGTGGAATCGCAACACGCGCACAGTTCCCCCTCGTTCGCCCGCCCTTACCCCCCGGGGATCTCGCCGACTAGAGCTAGTACGTGTGTTTTACGTGTAAATAAATGCTTGATATATTATAAAAAGGAATATAGCATATTACAAATTATCGACTAGCTTAACAATACTGCTGCGCCGACAGTCGCTGGACGAATAGTCGCAATTCTCCCTGGCGTACATACACGCTGGGAATTCGCCGTACACGTTTGCGCATCAATCGATATCTTCCAAGTTTAGAGAGAGTATCAGCACGCTAGAATGTGTCGAAATCAAACTTGGGAATGTCGTCGTACGCCATTCTCCCTCCGGAGATTCTATTTTCGATTCCGCGTCGTTGGTGCAATAACTTTTTCACTTCCGACGCGCGACGATATTAAATGCAACGATACGAGATGATAACTTTCGCGATCTGTTTTAATGAGATCAATCGTTTCGAACGTATACTCGATCGATGATTAAGGAAAAGAAACAGCGATCGCGTTTTCACGGGGAGCAAGTGTAATTTAGATCGACACGTAGAGGAAGGTCTTCTACTATGAGACAGACTCGTAATACGAGATAGCGGAGTTTCTGCTAGATTAATAGGCATCCATCTGTTGGTTTCAACATAAATGTACTGCCCATCGTTAGATCGTGTAATCGTTGCGAAAAATGCTTAGCGATTGAATTTGGATGTTGAAAACCTACTATCTCGTATTAGAAGCCTATCTCATAATAGGGGACTTTCCTCTATACAACACAAGGTGTTATGTAATACCCGCCTCACCTCCTATTTATGGATAGAGCGGACTAGACCGAGTCCAAGAGTTCTCTACCATTTTGCAATTTTCGCAATAGTTATCGAGTTATTAATTATTAAAAATTGTCTTAGCTCGGCCTACCGTCCAATTCAAGCTCGTGGCGAGACGCGGCCGTCCCGCGATTGGCTCGCTGGGCGCGCGGGGAATTGTTTATGACACACGGCAACGGCTACGTATAATAACCAACTCCCCGCGCGCCTAGCAACGACGATCGCGGGACGGCTGCATCTCGCCGCGCGCTTGAATTGGGCGGTAGGCCGGGCTAATGGCCGATTTTTTCACTTCCCGATAAAATTATCCGGAGGTTAATCTCAAGTTTTAGCCAATCACATGCATGGATCTGGTAGTTTATCTCCTGGTTAACTTTAACCGCAACATAACTGGATGTGAAGAAATCGGGCATAAGACAGCGATTTTTAATAATTAATAACGCGTTAACTATTGCGAAAGTTGCAAAATGGTAGAGGACTTTTCGACTCGTTGTCAGTGTAGTCCGCTCCATCCGTAAATAAGAGGTGAGGCGGGTGTTACATAACACCCTGTATATATGTTTCTTTAAAAGTCTCGATGTTTAGAAACAACTAGGGGATGAGAGGATCGAACTTGCGCAGAACAAGTGAAAAGTGCATAGAGGATTACCGTAATACGCGCCGTCCCTTATACGCCTAATAGATTTTCTTTTTAAGTAGAAACGATTATTTCAACGGATTATTTATCGAGTACTTCCCAATATATATATATATATGTATAGAATGCGTTTTAACAGCAAAGTCGTTTCGCAAAGTTGTGCCTCTTTCTATATAATCTCCACGGATAGTGTTCTTGGTCCTTGAATTCGATTCTTCGACTTCCTACCTCGTCCGTCGAGCGTGTTGTACGTGTGTGTTTGTGATTATGTGTGTATGATTATCGAAAGTTTCGCTTCTCAAACGCGCCCCGCGAGTTTCGCCTCCCCCGGAAGAAACGCTCGGGCATCGCGACGCGAGGTTTCCGCTCTCGCGAACACCGAGTACAGGCCGCGTTACGTCGCGCAAAAGTCGCCGCTTGATCCGCGCGGGCGTTTCGTCTTCCCGACTCGCGGCGTCGCCTCTTGGCGTTGCGTCTCCTCGCAATTTCATCGTCCGTCGTAATCCAGGAGATTCAGGAGATACGTGGGAGTATACGTGGTCGGCTGCGGAATTTCACTCCCAAGTATAGTGCGGTCGGAAGACGCTGATGTAAAAATGCTGGATAAAAAGCGGACTTTGTCGCGCGTACGCGTCGTCCGCCGTCCCGTCGTTCTCTCTCGAGCCCGGTGAGGGAAAAACCGTCTAGATCTTGGAGATGTAAAGCGGCCGGTGAACCTGCTGCGGATTGCCGTTCTGCTTGGAGTAGCGCGCGTTCTGCAGCAGTTCCCGGGTCTCGCTGGGCGAGCCCGGGCTGAGGCTGTTGGTGGTCGAGGTCTCGACACGGTCGCTGATGATCTCCTCCTCGGTGATCTGCTCCAAGTAGAGCGCCGACTGGACCGCCGACTGATTGTCACCGTTGATCGCGGCTTGCGGCGTGTACGCCGGCGGCGGGCTCCGCGGCGGCGAGCCGCCGCTGCCGCTGCCGCTGCCGGCACTGCCGTCTATCTTGCCGTTGTCCTTAATCTCGAGGCAAGTGTCCGACGACACCTGCCTCATCTGCTTCGCCCGTCTGGCGTGGCGGGTGGTCAGCCCGCCGGTCTCCACGTCCCGCTCGAGTCGATGGCCGGAGCGCGACCTGGTGAGCTGGCGTTGCACGTAATCCTCGAGATCGTCCTCCTCCTTCTTCGCGATGACGCGATTCAGGACGATGAGGAACACGCCGACGAAGATGGCGAACAGCCCGACCGCGACCAGCTCGTTCCACCAGCCGCCGGTTGCCTTGGTGCCAAAGTGGGCGAGGTCGCCCGGCAGCAGGCCGCTCATCAGCAGGAAGGCGCCCAGCACCAGGAACACCACGCCGATGTGCAGCATCCCGATCGAGGTGACCACCTTCGTGTCCAGCATGCCCTGGCCGGCCCCTCGCCCCCCGCCATGCGTGCCCTTGTGATGCCTGCCGTGGTGGTCCAGCGATCCGGTCGAGGCCCTAGGCGACGTCAGGCCGCTTTCGCCCGATTGCGCGCTATAACGACGTTCGCGCGCGCGACGCTGCTCGTCCCGGCGCATTCGCTGACGCTTGATGGCCAGCGCCGAGTGCAATCCAACCGCGTGCATCCTGCAACACCGGAAAGACAACCCTTTGGCTCAGTCAATCTCGCTAGTCTGCCTCCCCGCGAGCCCACTCTTTGTTTCGCGTTTTTTTTTCTTTCCTTTTCGTTCTCCATCTTTTTCTCTTTCTCTCTCTCTCTCTCTCTCTCTATTTTTGTCTTTCCGACGATTCGTTCGATCAACGAGAAACACACGCCACCCCGGCCGGTGGCGCGGTGCGATCTCGCGACGTCGCGATCGATCGAGACAACCCGAAGGAAAGAAAATTGCCAGATCAGTCCCGTCGTGAAATTACGTTATTGCGGAGCACGCGAGGTGTCGATAAAGCGGTCTACGTGCCTGCTCGCGAGCGAACAATGTGGCCGAACAATGGAATGCGCGCAATCTCGCGTACATTGTACTACGGCAATTAGTCAATCGACACCACTGCTTGCCGGCCAGCGAGCCGTAGGAAAACTCTCGCTCGGGGTTTCTAAGATGCGCATTCTATTGCATTTAGCAATTTTCCCCCTCCCCCCCCCCGATTCTACTCTGGCAAACTAGTCTCTGCGTCTCAGCACTGACTAATTGGCTACCTCTAAGTTCATCTAAAGGCCTACGGGATCTATTTACAGGGTTTTACAGGATGCACTGCGATGGAGTCGCGCGACGTCAAAGCGAGCGGCGAGCGGCGCGCGCGTTCCCCGCGGAAGGATCCTCACCTCTCGTCGGCGCGCGGTATCTCGTCTCTTTAAAGGGCCGCCGACCGGGCCCTCTCGCCCTCTCGTATTTTGCGTATCGCCTGCGTCCTCTCCGTGCGGCCGGAGAGAGCGCACTGCGCGTATATTGCAAGCTCGTCGATATAGCACGTCCAATAATACGCAGCTTGCAAGCGGTAAATAGCTCGTTGCGCCCCTCTCTCTCTCTCTCTCTTTCTCTCTCCGTGCTTCCTATATCCTCGTTTCCCAGGATGTCGGCTAAGCTCCCAGCCGCTATTTTAACGAGCCATTTTACAAAGTTAATGGTCTTGTCGCCAACGGAGACGTAGACGCCATACATAATTCACATGCGAAACGAGCCATTCAGCGGAGAGAAAGCAATTTTTCTAGTTATTCCTATTTTAAAAACGGAGCTTCGAGTACGGTAATAGCCGGTGGTCGCCGGAGCTACGGATATTCGCGCAATCCATAAAACGAGGCACTCCGTTTAATGAAGCGAACGGAGAGGCGGCTTTGCAAAATTATGTCCCTTCCCTTCTGTGCACATCATCCTCCTCCCTCCCTCCCTCCCCCCCAAAAAATAAAATAAAATAATGTAAAACGCGAAAGAGTATTTTCCCGCACGACAGGGCCGCGGTTTCTACCGACGTCGCTTACTGTAACTCAACCGCGGCTTAGCTCGTTCCTTATCTCTTTCCGAGAGGACAGAAGGGGAGGATAAGCTGAAGTAACAATACGGTTCCTTTGTACGAGCCGTCTGAGAGTTTTCGCGTTCGCGGGTAAAAGTGACGGGCGGAAAGTCGAGCGTCTCTCGCGGGATTCAGCAGGCGAAAAGCGAAGCGGTCGGACGAGGACGACGTGTGCACGCGATCGGCATTCAGACGACGTGCAACTTTCACGTCGCACAGGGACCGAAACTTCGCGTCGCGCCGACTGGTACTCGCGGAGTTCGAGATGCTCGAGGCTACAACGCTGACTTCTGTGCACTAGACTGCCACCCTCGAGCTGAAAAGCGAGGCGAGAGTACCGCCATGTCTTTTTAGGGATCGGTGCTTTCCATTTACCGACGCAAGTTGACACAAGTATCACCTTATCCTTGTTGTTCGCTGGATATTGAAAAGAGACAGACTAACGCTTGCGTCAACTTTCGTCGCCAAATGGAAAGCACCATAAATAAAGTAGTATACGTGTGCACCCCAGTGACACACCGGTGCGCACATACCACTTTATTTGCCTAGCAAGACGTGGCGGAACTCTCGCCTCACTTTTCAGCTCGAAGGTAGCAGTCTAGAGCGGCGTATAGAAGCCCGTGGGCTACACACATCTCGCCCCCGTTATCACTTCTTTCTTCTCCCCACCTGCGAGCCGCGCCCTCACGCGTAAAAAATGCATGGAAACGCGTCGCGCGAAATGTCCTGTACGTTTATGTGTCGTATGCGTTGCTTTATTTATACGCGTAACGAGACACGTTATGCTCGCAAAAGGGCATGTCGCGCCGGTAATCGGAGTATTTTCTTTGTGAAACGGTCCCCCCCCCCCCACCCACTTGGCACGACATCCGGTTCGCAAGACTGCGGCGTGGATTCCCTTACAGAAATGTAAGGGAAATAATTAATGGAAAATTACTCTGCATCAGTAATTTCGAATGATTCAATTACTGAACTCCAGTAATTATTTCGTGCTTTTCTCATTGTCAGTATTACATTTCTGTAAAGGCACGGAGTCGCGGGGGAAAAGCGAGGCCTTCCTGTCGAACGTCCCGGCGTTGCTTCGCTCTACTAGAGTCCCTGTAATCGAAGTCTGGCCAACAGTTCTGGCAAAATTCCGCGAGAGAGGAGGATATGCATTCGCCATTTCTATCCTTTTCTTTTTTCCTTCTCTTTTTCTTTCGCTTTCTCTATCTTTCTTTCGGGAGTTGCCAGAAATAGGCCCAGTTTTCCATTTTCCGGTCAACAGTTAACCGGAGATTAGTCGAGTCTCCGTCTCTCAGGGCCGGTTTTTCATTTTCTGGTTAAACGTTAACCAGAGTTTAGTCGACTACCTGTCCTTTCTTAGATAATAATATAGAAAAAGATGGAGAGTCGACTAACCTCTGGCTATCAGTTAACCAGAAAATGAAAAGCCGGGTCTTAAGGTAACAATATAGAAAGAGACGGAGAGTCGACTTACCTATGGTTAATCAGAAAATGAAAGACCAGGCCGTACAAGGTTGTCGCCTGTTGGCCAGACTCCGACGGGAATGACTCCGCGAGACGACCGATCGCCGTTCGCGACGGCGAAATGCGAATCGCCATCTCCTCGGCGCCGCCTGCTTCCCCGAGGAACGCCGCGCGGCCGCGTGGGAGTCGGGCGCCGCGCGCGTCGCGGCGATTTAGGCACAGCCCGCGTCGTGTCGGGACGAAACACGCGCCGCTACGCGGGGATCGATATATCGATGAGTCGGGGAGAGCGAGGGATCGATCGGCGACCGGGCCGCGGGATTCCCCTCCCGCGTATCGCCGGGAAAAATCTCAAGGGTGACTCCGGCGCGGATGCTCTCCTTCGTTTTACGATGACAATGCGCGGCGCCGCGAAAGCGTTTCCTGCCCCACGATCAATAAAACCATCCCCCATGCCCCCTTGCAGAACGCAAACGCGAAGTACACACGAGGACACGAGATAGTGGCGGTGTGTGCACTATGTACACCGTGTGAGCCACGCATGTGTGCTGCGAGGAGAGCCCACGCCACCGAGAAACACGCCTCGCCTCGCCACCGACCCCTCCTCCCCGGAAAAAGGGTGAAAATTAAGACGAGGTTAATTTCCCGTGATTCTCTCTCTCTCTCTCTGTCTCTTAAGACGAGGTTAATTTCCCGTGATTGTCTTTCCTCTCTCTCTCTCTCTCTCTCTCTCTCTCTCTACAAATGTATATTGTATGAAGGAGTGAAAATGTATAACACATTGCCAGTTGAGATAAAGAGTTGTGAGAAAATGGAGCTGTTTAAACAAATATTGAAAGAATGTACTATAAAGAATGTAAATTAATGAGTATTACAAATAGCTCAGAAAGCTAATGAAGATCAATCAATCTCCTTATCTCCCCCCCCCCCTCTCTCTCTCGAATCGACCGGCTTTCTTTTCTCGTGGCACGCAAAAGGAACGGGGTCTCCCCGCTGGAGACGAAGGGGCGCGATCGCGATGCAGAAGAAAATAACAAAGTGCAGCAGACAAGAAGGAGGGAAAGGGGGCAAGATGCGAGGAGGAGAGTGTATCTGTCGTTTCCGCGAAAGAGCAGCTAATGGGATAACGAGAGTCGCGCAAAGTGCTTAGACGCGGCAAATATATATCGACGCGAAGTTGAGAGCAAAGTAAACTTGGGGGACGAGGGGGTGGGACCGGCCGACTAGCGCCGATTAAGCGGCCTGCTCCGAGTCGCGGAAAGTTTTGCGGAAGCGAGGTACTCCGCGCGTAACTGATTCATTCGCGGACACGCGGATGAAACCGGAATATTACATTAACGAGAAGGCGACACTTTCCCGCGCCGATCCCCGGGGACCCTCGCCGCGCGCCGGCTTTTCCGTGTACATCGTAAAAACCACTTCGTGACGAACACTCCCCGGTGCTCTAATTACGCACTTTCAGAGCATCACGTTCGCTGTCCATTAACGCCCGTCTACCTCCCGAGGATCTAACGTTTCGTTTAATTCTGTTCCTCCGCGAGCCTTCCGAAAAAAAAAGAGATGGAATTGTACAGCTTGAGTCGGTTATGGCGAATTCGGTCGCTTGCACTAGTGCGCGCCGAGTGCACACTAAGGCCCGGTTTCACCAACGTCGCTTAACTTTAAGCTTAGCTTAATTCGTTCTTCGTCTTTTTCCAACTGTTACTCTAGACAGGGGCAAACATAAATTAAACTAAGATGAAGGGTAAGCGTCCTAAGGCCCGGTTTCACCAACGTCGCTTAACTTTAAGCTTAGCTTAATTCGTTCTTTGTCTCTTCCCAACTGTTACCCTAGAAAGAGACAAACATGAATTGAACTAAGATTAAAGTTAAGCGACGTTTGGTGAAACCGGGTCTTAGGGCCAGTTTCACAAACGTTGGTTAACTGTTAACCAAAGTTCAATCGACTCCCTAACTTTTTCCATCTTATTATTTAAGAAGAGAGGAAGAATCAATTAACCTTCGGTTAGCAGTTAACCGATGTTTGTGAAACTAGCCCTTAAAGTAACAGTTGGAAAGAGACAAGGAACGAATTAAACCAATCTTAAAGTTTAGCGACGTTGGTGAAATCAGGCCTAACGCTTGTTTATAGTCAATTCTTATATTTAAGGGTCGTCTTAAATATCTCTTGAAACATTTCTTAGCCAGTAAAATGGTCTGCGTAGCATCTGTACGGATCATTTCTTGGCTAAATATTCTTTGAACCTGTTTTAAGACAACGTTAAATATAAAACGCGCCCGCCTAGAGTGTAGGGCGGTACAGGTTCAAATCCTGGCTGAGGTAATATTTTGAAAATTTCTCTAATTAGAATTTACCAGTTGTGTCGTTTATTAATTTTCCTACACCGGTTAATTATTTACTGGCGACATTTATTCTTTCAAATGTAGAAATTGTCTATAAACAGGCCGTAGTGCGCACCAGTGCAATCGAATTCGCTATTAGATACGCGGGAAGGGCGATAAAACGCGACGAAATCGTACATTTGAGAAAACCAAAGGGCTGCTTCGTTTCGCAGGGCGGATCGAAGCTATTTCGCGTTCGGTTAAAGATACATTCGGACAGAGAATTTTTCGAGACGAAAGGTCAAGAAGTCCCGCGGCTGGAGAAGTCATTAAAGGTTGAAAAGTTCCTCCTCTCCTTGAATCTTTTATACGGCGTTTTCTTTAACTGACAAGCGAAATAGTCCCGCACCACCGTAGTATGAATTTTTCAGCACGATTTACGTTACTCCGCGACGAAGAGATTCCCCCGAAAGTAAGTTTTTACGTGAAAAAAAAAAGACGATTTTTTTGACATCTCGGCTCTTCACGCTGGGAGAATTCACCATCTCGACTTCGGCGAAGACGGTCCAGTTTGGTTTTTGTTTTCCTTTCTTTTTCGGTTCGACTGCCAGCGGGTGGTTTCTCCGTTCGTCGCGCGACTCGACGCTGACGCGCGGACTCTCGCGGGCTTGCCATTTACGCGAAATTATTACGGGACGCCCATATTCGCGTCCAGTTATTGTCGTCAGCGTCTGGCGCGCCGCCAAACGCGGAGAGAGAGAGAGAGAGAGAGCTCGGCTGATCGCGAGACTAGTTCGGGAGCACGCGCGGATTTGTATTTAATACAAACATACGCACGCGGGACGGTGACACAGTGCGGAACATGGCCGACAGCCGTGTTTCGTTTACGTATCCGCGATCGTGATTCATTGGCGAACCAGCAGCTCTCTCTCTCTCTCTCTCTCTCTCTCTCTCTCT